TCGCTTGTTTCAATAAAGGCATTCTTGATGCTCGTCCACTGTTCTTCTACGCTGCCACCTTCCGGAATATTAGCTGCGCGAGCCTCGAGTTCTTCGACGAACGATCTCTTCACTGCTGGGTCTTCCAGTCGTCTGGTATTAAATCGCCGCCCGAGTCTCTCCTCACGCCGTTGAACTAACAATCAATACGAAACTATCGATTTAAAATTGGCTCACTACTTGACTAGCCTATTGGCCCCAAGAAAATCGATTAACAGTCGAAATTCTAGTACTACACTAAGTTTGTTTTGATTCGCTATGAAAGTTTGACAGATAAAATAAGGGGTTCGTGGATTTTCCTATGTTTCGAGGGGTGCATCGATTAGCTTGGGACCGAAGATAGTACCAGAGCTGAGCGAAAAATTTGAGCACATTTCTTCGGGACCTACTAGTCTTAGAGTTACCTCTATGGTTGAACCCGCGCAATGCGTAGGGGGATCTCACCGACCAGGAGATGATGGTCAGACGCAATGTCAGCGCTGTGTTTATTCCGAACATCAAGAGAACTCCGTCTTCATTTTCGGCTGATGCAGATGTGGTCGATTTGGCTCTGTATGTCCATCACGGGAGACCCATGTGACTTTATGCACTGGGCGATGGGGGAAGTTGTCGTTGTGCCAAAAAACTCTGAAAGCAGCTCGCCGTTCTCGCTCATATCTCCGAGACCATGGCGTCCCATAATGCGCTCATAGTCCGAGTTGTCGGAGCCGATCTTCGCAATGAAGTCGCCTGTGTAGATCTTGATATCAGTGACCTCTTGGAGTCTTATCCACGACAGCATTCAGTTGACTGTAAAAGTTCTCTTTGTCCTGCAATTCGGCAGCATCGGTTGGCGCATAACATTGTATTATGGTAAGGTTTCGGACACGTGTTCTGAATCTGGCAACGATTGATAGGTTCCCACTTGATGAGCGCAGCATGTGGTTGGGCGCTAAGCAGAAGGCCAACTCCACGATGTCGCGGAGCGTTTTCACCTCGCATACCAGAATATAAAAGTACCAGTCCCGAAGGCAGCTTGTGTTCTCCAACGATTTCTAGCTTCATACGGCGGGCCTCACTGGCGAGTTGTGCCAGTTTACCCTGTTGGGCTAGCGTCAGTACATTCCATGTTCCAATTATTGTCCGTTGTTTAGCGCTAAAAGTCGTTGCCATAAAATCAGTTCGTAATCTTTCACTGTAGGTTTCTGTAACAATTTGAAGGTTTCGGAGACAGTAGGTGGTTGGCCTAAGGTCTCCTATCCGCCGTGATGGGACTGCCATCTTGAGTATAGCTTTCGGGGAAAAGCATTTCGTATTCAGCCGCTGGATACCAGTCAGACGCTGTTGGAGCCGCCCCTAACATGGAGAACAGACGCCGTTTTGAGTCGCACCTTCATGGTGAACAGACGCTCGGGTTTGGTGAAGCATTTCCTATATCACCGTATTATGGTTACCGCGCCAGTGTTCGCGTCGCACATCTTCACTTTGCTATCACCGTCCTAGTGCCAGCGTGGGACTCTAAACAGAGCTGTGCACGATGGTCCCCCGGCGAGACAGGGGGTTGGGGCTGGTCCCACAAGCCACCCTGGAAAAAAACATAAAGTTGCAAATACTGATGAAAGAAATATGGATCGGAACAATCGACACAGACCTACGCGACGAAATAAGGTCTACGATTGGAAACTCGGAACATGAAAATGCAAATCGCTCGGCTTCCTGGGCTGCGATAGGTTAATTTATGACGAACTTCAATCACGCAACTTCGAAGTCGTAGTACTGCAGGAACTTTGCTGGACGGGACAAAAGGTATGGAAAAGCGGGCATCGAGCGGCTACTTTCTACCAGAGCTGTGGCACCACCAACGAGCTGGGAACCGGCTTTGTAGTGCTGGGTAAGATGCGCCAACGCGTGATTGGTTGGCAGCCGATCAACGCGAGGATGTGCAAGTTGAGGATTAAGGGCCGTTTCTTCAACTACAGCAACTCATCAACGTGCACTGCTCACACGAAGGGAGACCCGACGACGAGAAAGAAGCGTTCTATGCGCAGCTGGAGCAGGTGTACGACGGCTGTTCGCAACGGGACGTCAAAATCGTCATCGGCGACATGAACGCTCAGGTAGGACGGGAGGCAATGTATAGACCGGCAATCGGGCCAAACAGCCTGCATGCCGTATCGAACGACAACGGCCAACGATGCGTGAGCTTTGCAGCCTCTCGGGGTATGGTAGTTCGAAGTACCTTTTTCCCCCGCAAGGATATCCACAAAACCACCTGGAGATCACCTGACCAACACACAGAAAACCAAATCGATCACGTTGTAATCGACGTACCGCAGTGAGAACATAGATTCGAACCACTACCTAGTTGCAGTATGCATGCGCTCAAAACTCTCGACGGTGCATAACACCCGTCGAAGTCGAACGCCGCGACCCAACATTGAGCAACTACGGAGTTGCCCAGGACTACGCGCAGTAGCTGGAAGTTGAACTACCCCCGGAAGAGAAGCTTGGCGCAGTTTCTCTTCTATCCGTTCCGTCATAGGTAGTGCTGCTGCAGCGGCACTAGGTACTGCAATCCCGGACCGAAGAAATGACTGGTTTGACGGCGAATGCAAACTGTTAGTAGAGGAGAATAAAGCAGCACGGGCGAGAATGCTGCAACACCGTACGAGATTGAATGTCGAGCGATACAGACAAAACTCGGTATTCCGAAGGAAGAAGCGTCAGCAGGAAGACAGAGATCGCGAGGCGATGGAAAATCTGTACCGCATAAACGACACACGGAAGCTCTACGAGAAGCTAAATAGTTCGCGCAAAGGCTGCGTGCCGCAAGCCGATATGTGCAAGGACTTGGACGGTAACCTTCTCACGAACGGGTGTGAGGTTTTTTTTTTTAATTCTTTATTTAAGAGATTTTTAGCCTTAGGCTAGTTCATCTCTACGAGTGTGAGGTGATTGAGAGGTGGAAGCAGTACTATGACGAGCACCTCAACGGTGAAGCAGCAGAAAACGAAGGTGGCACGGCAACAGACCTTGGAGCACGCGCAGAATACGACAGGCTACCGGCCCCTGATCTTCAAGAAATTTAGGAGGAGATCGATCGACTGAAGAACAACAAAGCAACTGGTGTAGATCAACAACCAAGTGAGCTATTAAAATACGGTGGTGAAGCACTGGCAAGAGCACTGCACTGGGTAATTGTCAAGATTTGGGAGGAAGAGATATTACCGGAGGAGTGGATGGAAGGTGTCGTATGCCCAATCTATAAAAAGGGCGACAAGTTGGATTGCTGCAACTACCGCGCGATCACACTGCTGAGCGCCGTCCACAAAGTACTCTCCCAAATTCTATGCCGCCGCCTGTCACCATTTGCAAGAGAGTTCGTGAGGCAATACCAGTCGAGATTCATGGGTGCCCGCACTATCACGGACCAAATTTTCGCGATTCGGCAGGTTCTGCAGAAATGCCGCGAATACAACGTGCCCACACATCATTTGTTCATCGATTTAAAATCCGCATACGACACAATCGATCAAGATCAGATATGGCAGATTATGCACGAGTACGGATTCCCGGATAAACTGAAGCGATTGGTCAAGGCGACGATGGATCGAGTGATGTGCATTGTTCGAGTATCGGGGACACTCTCGAGTCCCTTTGAATCTCGAAGGGGGTTACGGCAAGGTGGTGGACTTTCGTGTCTGCTGTTCAACATCGCGTTAGAAGGTGTGATCAGAAGAGCTGGGATAGACACGAGTGGCACGATCTTCAGGAAGTCCATCCAGCTTCTTGGATTCGCCGCTGACATCGACATCGTTGCACGGAACTTTGAGACGATGGCGGAAACGTACATCAGACTGAAGACCAACGCATCAAAGACAAAATACATGAAAGGGAGAGGTTCTAGGGAAGATAATGTTAGCCTCCCACCCCGAGTTCAGATTGACGGTGACGAAATCGAGGTGGTCGATGAGTTCGTGTATTTGTGCTCACTGGTGACCGCCGAAAATGATACCAGCAGAGAAATTCAAAGACGCATTATGGCAGGGAATCGTGCCTACTTTGGACTCCGGAGGACGCTCCGGTCGAATAAAATTCGCCGCCGCACGAAGTTGACTGTCTACAAGACGCTGATTAGACCGGTGGTCCTCTACGGCCACGAGACTTGGATTATCCACAGCTCGTTTGCTTCCTTTTTTGAGGACGGGAAACATGTTCGCAAATTTCCATCAGGATGGAAATATGCCACTGGAGAGAGACATTCGGAACAGGCGAAGAAGCGGAATTAACAAGCTAGCAATATGTCTCTTCAAAAATACAGATGGAACTCCACCAGGTCCAGGATTAAAGGATTACTTGAGCAGAGTCGCGGCCTTAGAAATCATCTCAGCATTAACATCAATTGAACCCAGCGTTTGATAATTGACTGGAACGTTCCTGGCAGCCAGGTTAATATAGTCGTCAGTTAGTATCTCATTAGTGAATACACTGGAAAACTTGTCGGAAAAAAGCGGTATATATCCTGAACGGTGGCAGCAACTTCTCCGTTGAATTTCATAGACGATGGGAGGCCGGATTCCCTGCGTTGCTCGTTCACGTAGTTCCAAAAGGATTTCGGGTGTAGCTTAAGTTTGCGCTGGATGCCTCGTTGGATTCACGACTGTCTCGCTGGTACAATATGTGATTCAGCCTCACATAATGTAGTTTCAGAGGAAGCGTGCGATACTTCGTAAATCTTCTAAATGCTGCTCTCTTGATTGACTTCAACCTACGTAGCACTCTCGTCTACCAGGGAGGGTGAGACGCTTTGTGGTGAGTTCTAAAGATGGTACTAAAGGTGCTACTAAAGATGTCAAATGCTGAGCTCGATAGTAGTGCGCACACGATATATGCGAGTGTGTGAGTGATTTACTCTTAACTTGTTCATCTAAACAACACCAACAGAAGGCTTTCGGATGGCAGTGAATGTAAAGCTACGGAAATATGCGTAATTTGTCGTGCCTACTTTCTTGATTATATTTCAGAACAGCAGTTACCTTGTGTATTTTCATTGGCAAACCACCCGAATGTGCGCCAATGAGAAACGATTAAAATTGTATTACTTCTTTAGATCTTTTCTACCTTACACACGTACATAATGCATTTTTTACTTATTTCGCTTGTGTAGGATAGCAGCAAGGGCAAACAGGTTTAGTTTTACTATCACAAAATATGATTAAACAAAATCAAAGGAAAACTGGAACCCACACACGGTACGCGGTTCCGGTATTGTTTGAGGCTGCTGGACTGATTAAATGGACAGGATTAAATCTAATAAATCGATCTACCAGGAGGAAACTCAACAATGACGACTCAACGATGGCGGATTGACTTAAAATAGACAAACATGATTGCATTCAACAGTTTCATCTCAACCAAAAGTGATGGTTTCTATGGAGCTCAATTAGTTTCGCGCAAAACGGAAAATTAACGGTTAGTCAAGTTATTGCAACTACCTAACCAATATATATATGTACCTATATATCGATTAAAGACGAACGGTCGGTATTTAGCTCACGGGATGTTCTCTCGCTGCCTATTGCTGCCTACTCTCCTAGTTCGGGGCCTTATTGCAAAAGTTCTTCTTGTGTATCTTGAGATGGTTCGCCTGTGCGAAGCACTTGCCGCAAGTTTGGCAGCGAAATGGCAATTCGACCGTGTGGGAGGAATAGTGATCGGTCAGCTCGTTGAGATCCGTGTAGTTTTTCCCTGTTGGAGACAGATGGTTGGCAAGTGTTAGTGTTGGGTAAAAATATGAGATACATTTTATATCTTGAGCAGAAGATGTCAGTAGTTCTAAAACTGGAAATTTGAGCCAAAGTAGCACCAGTAAAAGTGACAATTTCTTTAAAAAAAAAACATGGAAAAACTGAAGAAAGCTCTAAATTTCTGAACGATTTTGAATTTTTTAAGAATTAAGAACCAACATTTCTAATGAAGAGCTTTGAGTGTGTTGGTTTATTTTCTTTTAATTCCGTTAGGGTTTTTGATCTAATTTCCATCCTACTAAGCACAACCCACGCTTTACCTCTCTTTTTGAAACGGGTTTGAAAGAAAAATGGAATAATTCTGTCAAAGATGACTTCTAAATTTATCTAAATTTTATTAGATTTTACACAATATCTCAACAATTTGTGACTCTTTATCAAATCCAACGGTACGTATGCCGTTGGATTTGATAAAGAGTCACAAATTGTTGAGATATTGTGTAAAATCTAATACTGCTTCTTGATTCTAAATTCGTTCTACGAGTTTCAATTCCGTCCTAACGCATTGAAACGCCATTAGATTTTCTTCGTCGTACGGATTAACGTAGAAAAGGGGGATTCGCTAGGAGCGCTTCTTTTGTTTTGAGAACAATGAGCGTAAATATTCATACAATGCGCTCTAACAGGATTTATGTTGTAGCTAATGAGCTAACGCATTGGAACAAACCTATTATTGATTTGTGCACGGTGAAATCATTGTTTTTTTTTCTCCTTGATTTGTTTTCCGTCGATCTTGTTTTCCGTGCTGAGCACCAATGCTACCGATTCCAGGGAGGCAGCTCCCACACCTGGACCCTACATTTCGACCCATCAACTCATGAACCGGGGACCAACGGCTTTACTTCCCTTGATCCCGTGATCAGAGATGTTATGCCTCAGCACATCCCGGGTGCGTGGGTGCGTGGAGATTGAACCCAGGCCTGCTGGGGTGAGAGGTAATCACGCTTACTACTACATCACCGGCACCGCTAAATCATTTATATTATTGATTTTTTTCTGATCGATAGAACGGAAATGGGCGATTACGACGAAGTAGTGCTCTACCCTATAATTGCTTATCTTTTGACAGATACGCGTATTTCGTCCACTACTTGCAGACTTCATCAGTGCCAAGTACTCAACACCACAAGATGAGCAATTATAACGAAATTAAAAGGAAATAAGCCAATACACTCAAAGCGCTTCATAGAGGGATTCCATTAAGAGGTTCGACAAATTTAAAACATTTCTAAAACAAGTGCAAACTCGAAGGGACGAATTCATTGGTACGAATTATTAAGTACGTTCTTCATCTCCGGTTCGGTTCGGAAGCTCAATAGGAATGTTAAGAAAGTAGCAATAATCATCAACATTTAAATTTAATTTAGGTGTTGTGGAATGCATAGCCATCAGGCGTGAAACTTTAAATACTGGCAGAATACATATAAAGCCTAAATGTATGCTTCATTGGAACAACGTCTGCATCAGCATTTTAGTGATCTTCCTTAAGAAGTCCATGAGGTACAATTCAAGCTGAACAATGCATTAGGTCCTAAGTAACATTGATAGATTCTCTTCTTCGACTTTCGCTTTCGTTAATAACTTGGATACTGAACCGTTTCTTGTCGTGTTTGTCGTAAAAAATGCTAGATAATGGGCCTTATTATGGGTGTCCCTACACGGTGATAAGGAAGTGATACTCAGAATAAGAGCCGTGATTGCCGTACAAATCAAATGGGAATCACTTCACCGTGAAGACAAGTGACAAGTTTTCACCGTGAAGTGACATCCGTTATAAGCCCCAATAGCTTGTTTCATCGATCTGTGTGCTGAAATTAGCTGGGAATATTTTAACATAGCCGTGCGAATGCAGGAAGAAAGTCGACAAAGAGAATCTCATATTTAGGACCTAGTGCATTGTTCAGCATGAATTCTAGATATACCTGTAATCAGGGCGTAACAGTTTTAGTAAACAATGACTTCTCTCGACGATTTCTTGGAATTCAAGGCACGCCCGCGCAAACCAACACAACCATCGAATAAGGGAAGTCTTTCCCAACCCGATGTTGGTTGATTTGCGTGGGCGAGCCTTGACACATATTTACATACTCTGATGCATTTCCGAAAATAAATATCAAACCCAGGGGCCTCATTGTGGTAGTCGAAACGAAGCGCTTGTAGGAAAACAGTCCTTTCAACTTGGTTCCATAATGTGGCCCCAGTTTTTAAAGATTGCAAAAAGTTCACATTATGTTGTGTAAAATAGTAAAAGGAATGTAATGACGAGGGCCTTCTACAATTTGAATTTTTGAATATCGCACCTAGAGAGCGTCAGATTGTACCTCACACACGTCACTCACCACAAATACTGCAATCCAGTGGATTGTCCTTCTTGTGAACCTTCGTGTGGTTCTTGATATGGCTCTGCTGGATGAACGACTTGTTGCACACGTTGCACCGATAAGGGCGCTCGTTGTTGTGGATCCGAATGTGGTAGATAAGGTTGATCTTCTGGATGAAGCTGATGCCGCAGATCAGACACTCGTGCGGTCGCTCGCCGGTGTGGATCTTGGTGTGGTTGGACAGGGCCGAGCTCTGCACGAACGCCTTCCCGCAGGTGCCGCACTTGAAGGCTCGCTCGCCTGCAATCAAATCGAACAGTTAATAATCCATTACAAACGATTGGCCTCTACCCCCAACTCACCAGAGTGAATACGCTTATGATTGCTCAGGGTCGATTGGTGGGCAAACACCTTGCCGCAGATGTCGCACCTAAAAGTATACCTTCAAACCTTTAGTACCCTATGTTCTTTGCCCGGCAGCGGACCCGACAGTCCCCAATCAACAATAAATACCTGTGCGACAGTTCCGGACTGTGGATCCTCACGTGGTAGTTGAGCTTGTACTTGTCCTTGAAATACTTTCCGCACAGCTCGCACCGGTACTCGCTGATCTGGTTGTAGTCGTGGTACTTCCGTTCCTTCTTGCCCGGTGGTTTGATTGTGCGAATGAACTGATCCTCCGGTATTTTGGTCACCGTCCTCACATAGTTCTCAGTGTACTCCTCCTTGATCTTAACGATGAACCCTTCCGGCAGCGGTGGTAGGACAATCGTTTTAGCTGCCTTCGATTTCTTTTTCTTCTTACCGGACGTCGTCGTCGTCGTCGTTGTAGTCGTGACCGTTGTACTCGTTGTTGGATGCGAGATCAAATCCTGGTTAAGAGGGATTGCCCCCACCTGGGACAACAGCTGCGGTATGTACACCTGATGCGGGATCGTCTGCACTACAACGTTCTGCGACACCGGAGGCGTGATCTTATCGTATGGGTCATATTCCTTCTTCAAATTGATGATCGATAAGGCCAGCGGATCCGCTCCTATGTGGTTCTGGCTAGTGCCGGACTGCTGCAGCGGCTGCTGATGCACTTGCTGTTGTTGGTGCAGATGGGGATGAGCCTGCTGGAGTACCTGTGGAAGCAACTGCGGTGGAAGATGCTGCTGAAGGTAGAGTCCCTCCCGCTTCATCTGGTCGTTCTGTATGAAGCTGCAACAATAGAGATAGAGGGGGTGGCACAACACAATAAAACCACATATCTCCCACACAGAACCCGATTCCCTGGTCGAAACTTACAAGTTCATCGTTTGTTTACGGTCGCGGGGGAACGGTAGCAACGATTTTCACTTCATTTGCGGCAAAATTTTCCAACTTTTTTCTTTTTCGTAAGATTTTAGCAAAACAACGCTAGACACAAGAGGGTGAAAAATGAATGAAAAGAAAACAACACGCAAAGGACGAGAGAGCGGAGATTTCGCGAGCGGAAAAAGAGAGAAGCGGACGAGAGAATCTGCGAGTGCCAGTGACAGCTGTTGGTCCGGTGGAAAGTGGATGGCGGCAGGTTCCCTGCGGTTTTAGATTCCAACGAATGACTGGGGCTTGTTCACAACAGTGTTTAGACTGGTCCACTGGTCAATGTCCACTCTGTACGGTCCGGGACTACTCGAAAAAAAAAAATTATAATAAATCAACGAAATTTCAATAATTTTAACTGTTGAATTTAGAGTACAATAAAATTTATTGTTAAATTGTTGTACGGGAGAAAAAATAAAATTGGTTTTTTAACGAAACAATTCTCAAACAATGAAAATTAATGCGATGAGATCAATTTGACTGCAATAGGATACGTTAATCGGTTTGCTTGGTACCAACAGGCTAGTCAAGTCAAGGGGTAACTCACTCTGCCACCTTGTGTTTAACACTCCAAAAACACAGTTCGACACACTCCAAAAACACTTCCACCAAAATTTTCCATTAATTCTGGCACCACTTCTATGACTGTTTACATTCAATTTTTATGTTTATATACAGTAGTTTAGCGTCTACGACGAATGTGTTACTCTTTACTCTTATTGGCAAATCATATAAGCAACTGATATGCGGAAATCATAATGGATTGTTCCTTGCCTTTTCACTCTAGTGAAAAAGCCGAGGGGGATGAAAGTCCCAGATTTATTCAAATGTTGCCATAACTAACTCTCAAGTTCAATGAATCGATTCATAGTCGGACAAATCCATTTTATCGATTATATCCGATATAATCTAGCTTAAATCTCTAAAAACAACTAATATCTGTTTGTATCGTTCACATCTCTGTTATCGGATCACAGCTCTGTAATTATCATGACAAGTAACTGTGACAGCCGTTTGTTTATAAGAAAGGAACATCGCAAAATCCCAACAAACAATACAAAAAGGCAGGGGGTAAGTCACTCTGCCACATTGTGTCTGTGCTTATTGTGTTTCATGTGGGTTTTTGGGTGTCGGAAGGTGTTTCTGTGTGTTTCTTCGTGTCGACCGAGCTGTCAAAACTTGAACCGAAAAAATATACTTACTGGCAACCATATCCTTGACCATAACAAAATGACGGATCCATCAGCGACTTCTTCGATGTTATTTGCTTATAACAACAAAGTACATCTGATTCACTACCGAAGATATTCGAGAAAAATGTGAAAGCCGAACTAAAACAGCTGCTTCAATTCATCAAGATGTGCAAAATTCACTTCTTAAAGCAACATAGCATAAACGGAATACTACCAACAATCAATACGAAACTAACGATTTTAAATTGGCTCACCACTTTAGTAGCCTATTGGTCCCAAGCAAACGATTAACGTACCCTATTCTAGTTGAAATTCTATTACTACACTATGTTTGTTTTGATTCGCTATGAAAGTTTGACAGATAACATCAGGGGTGTGTGGATTCATGCAGAACATGCAGGGGTGAGTGAAATAGCTTGGGACTGCTTGGGACCGTTGTTCTGGTACTGAGTGAGCCAAAAATAATAATGATTTTCTTCGGGACCCAGTGGTCTTAGAGTTACCTCTATGATACTACCAATAACCACTACAAGGAGCACGACCACAGAGGCGAGGTGGACTGAACCCGGTAGTGATCTAGAATTCTAAGCACCTTACTGATGTTGTGACACTCCCAACCTACCAAAATGAATTCATCGGAGCATTCTGACGGATCTTGACAGACTTTTCTACTTTTTGAAGTTGTAATTTATTTAAAAACACGGACACGCAACAGACAGCACACGGCCACCCATTCCCAAGGATCATCCATCCATTCCTCCTCCACAGTTGATATTGATTACTGCCTACATACCAGCACATACCAGTACCTAGCTATCGTATTCAACCTTAATCCTCGCCATCATCAATGCGCTCTCTTAGGCCCGATCGTATCCAGTCATTGAAATTCCAGGTCGCGGAATACGGTGTAAGTATCACTTCCGAGTGATTTTCTTCATCGAGGTCCGGTGCAATCCAACAAACCGACTCGCCGTGGTTCTCTCTCCTTTGCAAGAAAAAAAAACCACTGAATTGATCAACAAACGTATAAACATTATTGGCAGTGGAAGGGTGTTTGAAGTGTGTCGAAGTGTGCTTTTGTGGGTTTTAGCACAAGGTGGCAGAGTGACTTACCCCCTGGATAATATCGAAAGACACGCGTTAATTCACAACGAATCGAATTTATCCAAAACAAATTCGATAAAATTAAGCAAATTTTATTTATTTTTTAACTAGTTCGTTTATTTGGAAGGCTCAATCGCGTTAGCTTTACGGAGCCGATAGTTCATTGTTCTTTGTTTGTAACAAAATTCACTTTATTCTATGTCTAGTAAGAGTTGGGCCGAATACTCGCGGCTTACTCGAGATTAGAGAGGTACATTGTCGAAGGATAGGATCAGGGGAGGAGCTTGGGGGTAAGGTTTCGTTGTCTCATCAGAGTGTTGTCGCCAGTATGAATGGTAGTGCGGTTCTAGTTTCGTCTGGAGTTCGATCGGCTATGGTGACCAGTGGGCGACGATGAGACTCATCAAGACGGGGGGACAAGACAAACAAAAACTATTAAAGAGAGACAAAAGACAAAGGAATTAAAATCTTATACTAGACATTTGAAGAAACACATAAACCGACTGCATATAGCAGATATCGCGAGTTCCCAACACGTCTCTGATAGGATATTCAAAAGTCGTTCTCTGGCGGCGTCATTATCCGTACATTGTTAAACTGCGTGATCGATGTCATCGTAACCGTTTCCACACCGACAGATGTTGCTGTCCACGAGGTTTATTCTATTGAGATGAGCATCTAGCGAGTAGTGGTTGGACACAAGTAAACAAATTTTATTGAAATTCGTTAAAAGAAATGTAGAACAGATTACTTTCGTCCCCCTCGGAAAAAGCATATAGTAAGTATTTTTCTGCCCCAGGCTCTGTGCTTAATTTTTTTCCTAAATAATTTACAATATAATTATAAAACCAGCGGACTGAATTATTTTACACCAGCAAAACCTTCAGTAGAACAAAACCCGTCCGTCTGCGTATGTCCATCCACCTCTCGATCCACCTTGATTATTTTTTTTTCGAACTTGACTAGGTAAGCTTTGATTCAGATCTATTCTGTACATATGCGGTACCTGCGGAGTTTACTACGGTCGAAAATGTTCAGCAGAGAATAAGCCACGGAGCTGATGTGCCACCACGTTCCTGACGGTACTCCTTGCACCTTCCGCCTACAACTAAATGGAACATTGCTTAATATCAGAAAATCATACACCCTCTGATTGCTGTCATCGGGTCGACTCAAACGATCTAGTGATCGGCTACAGCCAGCATCTTATGGGAATTTTAGATGCAGTGAAAGGATAGTACGGGAGAACAGCCCATAATGCACCCCTGGGGTAAAATGCCCACTTTTAGAAAAACAGCGATAACTTTTCCTCAGATGCATTTTCCGGATAACGGTTTGTGATTGTTTTCAACTGGAGGTTTCACAAATAATTCTTGATCATAAAATCATGTATTGACCTACTGATTCCTTAAAAAAATTGCATTTTGTGCAAAACAGGACACTGTTGTTAAAATCATCGACTGTAAATTAAGCTTTTAACATCATACATCACAAAAAAAAAATTAACAAATTTTCGTTTAGTATAATTTTTAGATATGAATCACAGTTTAACATTCTATTGAGATGTTGAGACCTTTTTTCTGATGTAACATAAAGAAATAATCATTTGAACTACCGCTTCCCTTTGCATTATCTACTTGCAGGGGTTATGGTTTGTTTACCATGGGGTGCATTTTACCCCAATGTTGTGGTGCGTTTTGGCCATTGTTGTCGTGCGTCTTGTCCCAATGTTGTGGTGCATATTGCATCATGAATCAGGCGTTTTGCCCCGCTATCATTTTGGAAGCAATTTAAAAAAATACCTTGAAAGTCATGGAAAATCATCCTTTTGTAGTTCTAAATCACTCGATCTTTGTAGAAAACATGGTAATGAACCAAACGACATTACTTTCTTCTTGACTTTAGCTTCCATTCGCCAGCCATTGACGATTTTGCTTAAAGGGTGCGTTTTGCACCATCCTACCAAAGATGAATACTAAGATGAAACTGTTGGAAGAAAAACTTTCTATTTTAGTGTCCTCTTTCACGGTCCCTTTCATCCAATGAATACCCCCCGTATTCAAGGTAATTTTGTGGTTTTGCTGCCCCCTCGACAGAGATGAAATTTTGCGCTCATTTTTATCAAAACAAACACACCAAAATCAGAGGTGTCCCATTTTTTAATTACTCGATTAACATCTAATCGATTTTTTTTTGTTCGCTGTGCTGCCATATTTCCATCAATGAGAATGCAGCACATGTTTGAAACGATCAGTGATGATCCTCTGGAGAAGTTAATGCATATAGCGGCATGATATAACCGATTACAAATATTTTAATTTTCGGTTCGTTAATCGATTAATCGATAATTTGAATGAAAATCGGCCATCACTAGATTAATGTGAAACGTCATTTCAAATATATGAACCGTACATAAATAATGATACAATTTGAAAGGGACCGGGGCTCATCACAAATTACGTCCTCACGGTAACTGAAATAAACACGAGTGTTCACCGGTTGATCCTACCCTACATAGTCCGCCATGCATCACGCACAGTCTGACGCTTTATTGGATTTTACCAAAGGAGTAAAGAGCTACAGAGACGCCGTCAACGCCAATAAACAACTACGATCGCAGGGAGGTCTGTCATTTTCAGCGTTGTGGATGTCATGGTTGTCAGTAAACATTTTATGGTTCAGAGTTGGTTGGAAATGCTATCTAACATGAAGCCGAGCATGACGCTTTGCTTTAATGTGATAATTTATTAGCTAGAGAATGGTCTTTAGAAGAGGGTAGATAGATAGTTCCGTTATAGTA